TGAAGTGAGTGCTCACTTCTAGGCGGACGATTTGTCTTGTTAGTCTGTTCGATGTCAAATGTTTTCCCCTTTTCTCAGCTTGCCAAGAGCATCATGTCGAGATGAGATGAGAAGACGCTTAATCAGTTTCGCTCCTCTTCTTTTTTGCTCAAAGTACAAATCGAGCTGTAGTTGCTACTGTTGCAAACACAATAACACAAGGTTTAGAGAGGAAGAGTCGGGGGTGAAAAACAGAAGAAGACAGCAATGAGAAGATTGTGTAAAAGGGGAAGTGAAGAACAGGGCAGAAGTTGGGATAAACGCCAGACGATTGGCGGATCTTGGTGGTCGTGGTCGACGTCGTCGCACTGGCTGCCTAAAATGACAGACTGATTGATGACACTGAAGAAAGGAGGATTCTGCACAGAAGAAGGGAACAAGACACAATTCGGCGGCGGTACATTAAAATAGAAAGTGAAAGGAATAGAGCACAGTTTCTATATTGGTAGCACTGTGACGACAAAGACTTCTGCTGAGGGCTGATGATGCTAAATCGGGATGCGCACCGATGAAGCGGCGAAAGTGTGAGTGAAAGAATAGTGTCGACGACAATGGTCTCGCCACTGGTTGATTCTTTCTCTCTTTTCCTTTCTAATCAGGCAGTCGCTGTTGTACAATCAGCATCAGCAGCACTACCATCATCGTATGCTCAAGACAGAGGTTGCAGCGCTTGCAATTGACTCCTTTTATATTGTGCCGCGATGGTGCAGCAACAGCAACAGGAGATCAAGGAGCCCACACTACACTCGGATGTGCACTTGTTGCACAGGTTGCTTAGCTCACTAGAGATCTTGTCGGTGAGAGTGTGTGAGCCTGAGTGTGTGCTGGCTGTTGTGTGACACTTGGTTCACCCAATAATAATAATAACACAGCACATCAGTGTGTCTGGGCGACCGGAGGGAGAGAGAGAGAAAGGTGCAGAGAAAGGTGCAGAGAAAGGTAAATCTGCTGCTGAGTGCTGATGAAGGTGCTAGTGGACGGTCAGATTCGATGGCTGTGCCTTTATGACACGAGTCGATTAGATAAGCTGTTCACTGATAAGAGGTGCTGGTAGTGCACGCTGTGATGCTGTCATAATGAAGTGCAGTCTGCCATTGATGTTGATGAGGGTGATCGGCGACAATTGAACGAGCCATTGCCTGGTCACCACTGCCACTGCCGACGTTGCAGCGGAATTGAGAATTGCCGTCGCCGTGCAAAAAAGGGGAAAAGCACTCTCTCCCTCTTCACGGTGCCTCGTCGCCACTAATCTGGCAGTTAGTCGATCTGGTAAGTGTGATGCACGTAAACTACTCTGCTAAGAGCTTTTGTACTGATGTTGATGCTATTGTAGTAGTGTTGTCTAAAAAAGAAACAGCTTTTACTTTTGAGGTGTGTGTGCGTGAAAAAAGCAATTAAGTCGGTGTCATACACTCTGACGGCTAAGCAAGTGCAGTGTCAACAAAACAAGGCTAGTCGGTAATTAAAATTGGGGAGACAGAAGACAGAGAAACGGCAGCCGGCACCGACATGTTAAATTGAAAAGATACAAAGATGAGATTGAGAGGTTTAGTGCTGATGATGTTGTTGTTGATGATGGCAATCATTGAGAAGGCGAATGTGTGCCTGTGATCTGAAACGGTCAGTTTGCATGTCGGCGCCATGTGAGGTCCATTGCGACCGCCACCACCACCACTCGACCGATTAATAAAGTTGACTTGTTGACGTATCAAAGTGGCAAACAAGTGTTTGTGTGTCTCCTTGTCTATCTGTCTATATCTGTCTGTGCTGATTATTAATTGGCTCATTTTGCTAGACAAATTGAATTAAGTTTAGAGAGTGCAAGGAAAAGAAAAGGTGCGGGAAAATGTGGGAGAAGGTGTAAGGGAAGGAGGGAACTGCACTCTGACAAACACACTCAGCAGTCTACCTGTTCCAGAAGAGCAGACAGACAGTGTTGCTGCTGATGCTCCTGTTGCTCTTGTTGTTGTTGTTCTTGTCGGCCATTGCTGCCATTGTCATCTCACCTGAGATGAGTGCTGCCCTAGAGATATACTTCGAATGTGCATTGCGTCACAAAACGCACTACCTGTGTTTAAGAAGTTTCACTCCCTTTTCCTCTCAAAAAAGGTGGCCTTCTTCCCTCACTCACTTTCTTTCTCTCTCCTTCAATCGCTCACCAAGTGGAGCACCCACTGCTGATTGGAGACCTGTGTGCCTGTGTGCCTGTCTTGCATCTGTGCATCTTGCATCGGTGTTTTGTTTGCCGTGTGCCCTTCTGTTATCGCCGGACAAGCAGCGATAACAAGAGCAGAGAACGACGAGCTCGGTGTGCTAATTGGTCTCCACTGGACGTCATGTGCTCGCACACTGTTTGCAGCAATTGTTTTTCACTGAAAACAGTTGCTGCTCTACGACAATCACAACCAGCACTGTTAAACAGTCTGCCGGTGTTGCCCAGACGTCTGCCACACAAGACAATACTGCTGCAGAGAGCGACGCCGATCAAAGACCAGCAAAGGTGAGCTGGTGCTTACTGCTCCGCGGGCGCCAGTTGATGCCTGGCGCCGTACTTTAGCTTATAAACAAAAGAGAGAGAGAGGGAGAAGCAACAACAAAATACAGATGCTAACACACTGCCAACATTATCAATATTGGCCACTGCAGTGGTGAGATTACCAGGAAAAAAGAGTGAGAGTTGAGGGCAAGATTATGGTCATCAAGAAAAGTGGGAGAGGAAGGGGAGATTAGCATGAGTTAACAGGAGTTAAAAGGAGGGATGACAGATGCGACCGATGATTCTGCCAAGGTGAGTTGTGTTTGTGTGCACTCTCAAATTGCGTCATATTGGCAATATTATGAAGCCGACCGACACAGCACAGTGGCCTCTAATAGATAATCAGTAACTAAGTTGGAGAAAAAGGCGAGAAGAGGGAGGATTTTGGAGCAAATGGAGCACCTAATCGGCTGCTACTTCTAAAAAGTAAAGTCCAAATAGTGCTGCTGCTACTACAGCAGCTAACTTGTCCTTCATTGCTTCGATGTGATCGATCGGTGGCGGTGATGGCAATCTTACACCGCGTCCAAAGTACAATACTGCCGTCGTTTATCGGTTTTTGTCCTTTCACCCCACAGTGTGCAGAACTAATTACCACTAATGTTTGAGCTCTATTGTTAGTCGGAACACTACTAAATGCAGTTTACTGTGCACAAAGACTGGCTGGCTGTATGGCAATGAGACTAATGAGGGAACACCTTTTGCAGTTCAATTAACAGCTGCTGGAGAAGCATTGTACGCCACACCTTTGAACTTTGACTCGACGTTGGTGGACGACTAAGTGGATGAGTCAGTGTTAAGGATCGCTCTCCNTTACACCGCGTCCAAAGTACAATACTGCCGTCGTTTATCGGTTTTTGTCCTTTCACCCCACAGTGTGCAGAACTAATTACCACTAATGTTTGAGCTCTATTGTTAGTCGGAACACTACTAAATGCAGTTTACTGTGCACAAAGACTGGCTGGCTGTATGGCAATGAGACTAATGAGGGAACACCTTTTGCAGTTCAATTAACAGCTGCTGGAGAAGCATTGTACGCCACACCTTTGAACTTTGACTCGACGTTGGTGGACGACTAAGTGGATGAGTCAGTGTTAAGGATCGCTCTCCTTTCCACTATTTTCTCAATGTGGCTCACACTTTTAATTGTCACCTTGACTTTAGCAAGCAGCACTTATTGAAGCAGTACTCGCAAAATGTACTAAATGTACTTCTGCAGCCAGTCACCTCTGACTTTAGTCTAACGACTTGTGGTGATTGATTCATGCACATGTGTGCGTGTTCATCACGAGTTTCTGTTATCACTTTAAACAGAGGGAAATTGTAAGCATTTTTTGCTATTTCTGCTGCTGTTGTTCTTTTCAGTTTACTCTAATTCACGTGAACCCTAAATAGGAGCATCATCAGCAGTAGTAGTAGTGGCAGTGGTTAAAAACACTCACTCAAATACCAAAGCACAATGCTCTGAATTAATTGCTGGTGCGCAGAGTAAACATCAATCGAAGCTAACAATATCTAGTTGGCTTTTCAGTAAATAGTGAGCTGAGCTGCTCAAGAATGCTGCAAAGTACAGTAGCGCGAACACCCCTGATGCCCTGTTGCTCGTTTCCTGGTCATAACTTTTAAGGCAAATGCAAAAATATTTGCTGCATTTGTGGTTGTGCACATTCCAGGCCCATTGTGATGTCATTTCTTCGCTGGTTATCTGCAGTGGCTATCACGGTGTGCATTTTTGTCAAATCACAGTCAATCGCGCCATTTCTTCCAGAGTTTTAATTTTCCAACCTCAAGCTGCCGCGGACAGATGGAGTGAGTTGCGTTTGAGAGCTAGATATCAAAACAATAAACCGATTTTTGCCTCGTCACTTTTGCATTGAATCATTTTAGAATCCCAGACAAAACAGTAAGTTCTTTAGTTGTTATTTTTAAACGCTTTCTTCTTGACTTACCCACTGTTATCCACTGTTTAGTCTCAAGTTTTTGCCGTTTTATTTTGAAGTCGCACTTCTTATCTTCTTTCTCTTCTTCCTCGGAAGTTCTTCTTGTCCTCTTCAAATTACAAAAATGTTCAACTTCAACTTTAACTACCAGGATGCAGACCGTACCTTCAATGCTACCTACAAATGCTACTCAGTCTCAATGCTGCCTGATGAGCGTTTGGATCTGGAAAAGGGCGGCAAGATCATCATGCCGCCCTCTGCGCTGCACACCCTCACTCGACTAAACACCACCTATCCGATGCTATTCAAGCTGACCAACACCGACAAGAAACGTAGCACGCACTGCGGTGTGCTGGAGTTCATTGCCGAGGAGGGCAAGGTGTACCTCCCCTACTGGATGATGCGAAATCTGCTTCTGGACGAGGGCATGATGATCCAGGTGCAGAGCGCTTCAGTGCCCGTCGCCACCTACTCCAAGTTTCAACCGCAAAGTGTGGACTTTCTCGACATTTCAAATCCCAAGGCGGTTCTCGAGAATGGCCTTCGCAACTTTGCCTGTCTCACCACGGGCGACGTCATTGCCATCAACTACAATAGCAAAGTCTACGAGCTGTGCGTGCTCGAAACGCGACCTGGAAATGCCGTCAGCATCATCGAGTGCGACATGAACGTCGACTTTGAAGCTCCCGTCGGCTACAAGGAGCCGGAGCGTAAACCGAAAAACGACCCCGAAAATGCTGAAAACGCCGCCGAAGACGCGCACCTAATGAAGGACTCCTCAAATGCCTTCAGTGCTTTCAGCGGGCAGGGTAATCGCTTGGACGGAAAAGCGCCTAAGCTTGATGCGGACAGTGCATCTAGGCCATTGGCGCGCGAGTATCGTCGTGGCATTCCCGACTACGACTACAAAATAGGGACCATCAAGTTTTGGCGGGTTTTTCGACCAGTTCAACCTAAGGTGGCTGAAAAGGAGGACTACTTTAAAGCCTTTCAAGGACAAGGTCAGACGTTGGTTCCAAAGAAGAAGTAAGTGTGGAGAGTCTGTGATTCCCGGTGTGTGTGGTTGCTAGTCAATCCACTCGACTAGCCGCCGTCAAAGAGTTAACCCTGTAAATAGACTTTGCAACTTTAAATTAATCGAATACCTTTTATTAGGTGATAAAACCGATCTTTTCATCCAAACAAACGTGTAAAAACAAGAAATATAAATCAAACAAATAATCATTCACAAAACACACGCGCGCACATATCACAGGGGCCAGATAAGGGTGAAAGGGTGAAATTGGGTGTCAAAAACTAAACAGGGTAAAAGGGTTTGTTGTTGTTGTATAATGCCAAGTCGTATTATGCAAAGGGGTAAGTGAGTTGAGTCATCATTAGGCGGTGATGGCGTGCTGGGTGATGGGCCAGTTGAGGCGGCCCTGGATGGCGTTCTCCTTGAGCCGCTGCTTGAAGATGTTCAGCATCAGCCGTCGCCGACGGGCATCCTCCTCCCGCCTGGCGGTGACGCACTTTGCCTTCACTTCAGGCAACTTCCGGTACACCTTCTCTGTCCGCTGGCGCATCTCCTTGTCGGCGACCACGCGACGAGTGATCAGCTGCAGTGGACGATTGGGAAAGACGCTCTCGTGGTTGGTGGTGGCGGTGTTTGTATTGTTGCCTTTGGGTTTAGGAGCAGCGCCTATCGTCTTGCTGGAGTTACCTTTCAAAGTGGTCACCACCTTGTGGCCGGTTCCGTTTGTTGCTGCTGCTGAAGGCTGCTGAGACTGCGGCTGAGCACTTTGAACCTTCTTCTCGGTCATGTACGTCTGAATGATCTCCGCCTGTCGACTGTCTGCCGTTCTTCGGCGAAGCTCCTCATTGTCCTTGATGCGCTGTGCCCTCATTTNCGCCGCTACTGGCTGAATAACCGAAGTTGCTGCGCCGCCGTTGGTCATTGCTGATGGTTTGCTGTTGATGTGCATGACCAGTCCATTCGATGATTCAGTCAGTGGAGATCGACCACCACCACCGGCACTGCCATTGTTAGACCGGTGAGTGC